GCGGATTTCCCCTATCCTTCGGTATGTTTGGTCAATTAATGATATAAAAATGAGCTGGAAACGATCTCATTTATGGCTCATTTCGCGATCATTAGCAAAAATGATATAAAAATTGACCATTAATGATCTAGTATAAAAAATGATCATAGAATGGTCATTTATATGACTTTAAGTTAACATCTTTTATGTGTGACTAGTTGTCGAGTTATTATGTGATTTTTACATCATTCTTGAGCAATTGCCGAATGGCGATAAAATCACTGAGAAATGCTCGTAAATGGACCATTAATTGTCCAAACATACCGAAGGATAGGGGAAATCCGCAAATGATTACTTTTATTTACATAGGAGAGGGTGGGTCTAGCAAAACATTATGTAATCATTTGTTTTTTCTAGTAGTCATGCGGGAGTGTGGCGGACAGAGGCGCCGAGTTTCCAGTTAGGTCTTGGTGTTTTGTAAAATTAGTAGGGCCTCTGATAGTTTTTAAAATTTTGTCATATGATAAAAATTTGGGAGAGGTTTGCTGTCGCAATGTTATATAGAAAAAAGGATAACGAAGCTGAGCGCAGGTAAATGGAATTTGATGTCTGTTCGAAAAAGCTTGGAGACTTAAAAAATTGAAGGCTCAAATTCTGTATACACATACAGATAGAGACGCGTGTTCTATCTGTTCATTGCTTGTCATGTTCTCTGTTTGATATTGTAACGAAGAAGGCACTAATACTGGACGAGTGATTCGTTGTTATTATTCTTCCGTCAACTAAAGTGATAGATAATCTGTTAATTTTCGAAAAATATCCTTTATTCACAAAAACGCTTCACAAAATATCCTTTATTCACAAGCGAACGCTCGGTCGTGAACGTTATCCCTGATTCAAAGTCATTGAAGGTCATTCGATATTACTGAGACGGACGAACATAGACACAGATACTAGTGTGACGGACGTACCTGCACATATTCCAGGACATACTGTGGACAGTCCGCTAGCGAACGCCAACCGGAGGGAGCTGTGAGCGTGAGATATAAGTTGATAAGGTCAAGTTACCGAGTGAGTGCAGACGACCGGTTGCGTTGTGTATATATGGAGCGAGCGACCAGCACTGTGAAAAACTGTCACGTTGTAAACGTTGTTACTTGCGACAGATACTAGGACGAAAACTAGTCCAGTAGCTGACTGTCCCCATCGTGTGAGGGACCCACATACCGACTTATTGTGGATAGTCGTACATGCACATACTGAGTAACATATTCTGGATAGTCGGCTAGCGGACGCCGACCAAAAGGAGAGTTGAGCGTTCCGCTGGATTCAAACTGATTGCAGGCCGTCCGCACATATAAGTTCGTAAAGTCAGAGGTGCTACCTTGTGTCTATATGCAGGGAGTGATCAACAGCGTGAAAAACTGTCGCGCTGCAAACGAACATTACCTGTGCTACCACAAAGAAAACTAGACTACTAGTTGAACGGCATCGAGCCTTCGGTGGAGAGTCAGCGAGCCAGCGAGCGTTACTTGTTTAATAGAATAAAGAAAATAAAATAAAAAGAAGTGCTGTGATATTTTAATTTGGATACACGTGTGAAATGATGTTTATAAAGCCTTTAACTTACAAAATAACATTTTGCATGATAGATGTCGCTTTCCATCAGTAATAAACGTTTTTTAAGCCGAATCAAGCGAAGAGATCGTGGTTGGGCTTATTCCATTGACTGTAAGTCTATTCTCTCCACCGGAGGGGAGAGTCTTGCAACCTGTACGGGGAAAAGCTTACAATAAATATAAAACTGAGCAGTGACATGAAAGACGTGCAAAAAGAAGATCTGAAACCTCTAATGCCATCAAAACATCCAAACTAAACTCGATATTCGATATTGATATTACTTAGTCCACCAAATTCACAAAACCTAACTCTGTTTATCGATCGACAGACCAACCTATAGAAACCCGAGCAAACATAGCTCAACCCAAAAGAACTATCTACCATTTGAATGATCAGGAAGTCGAAACTACCTGATGAGATCCTTTAGCAAGGTCGAAACGCGTCGTAGTCCGCTTGGGCTCACCACTACGTCAAAGGATATCTAGTATAACGACTTCTAGTCGTCAAAATCTGTAGAAAACGCAATTTATCTGTGATCTCTCGATCATTTGGATAATTATAGAGTCGAAACCATCTGATGAGACCCTTTAGCCAGGTCGAAACGTGTCATGGTTAGGTAAAACTCTTCCGAAACCTTTAAATCTGAAACACAGTTCCTGAAGATAAGGCATCAAGTGTTGGAACAGCAAAATCATACACATAAACCAATACAAACTCCGGTGTTAACAACTGCATATACTACCAGTAACAACGAAATAAAAGATAACACCACCATACAACCACCCCAAACTAAACCAAAAAAATCGAACCAAAACATTATATTTCATTTTCAATACGAACAACGTCTGAAAAGTTGTCAAAAGAATATCCATCAGATATGAGAAAAAATATTCAAAGAGACACCAATCACAAATACCAGACTCATCATTGGCACCTGTAATAATCGTAACGGTGCGGAAGAAATCATAACCAAACATCCTCCGACTCGATCGATGAGACTGAAAAGATCGAACACCGATACTTGAATTCTTGGTTCGATTTATTGTTTATATCTTTTTCTACTTTAATAAAAGGAAATGAATAGCAACACTCTATGTATCTCGAGTGCGCTCATCAGTTCGATGATGCGCCAGAATTGGAAGACGACAGATACTATCACATAAGAGAGTCAGACGTGCCACAACCGTTACCTTTAATAGAAATGATGTGCTACGGAAAAACTAGGTCCACGCAGTCAAAACTATGACAAACTCATAACTCTGAATACTATAAAATCACACGTTGCTCTTATCCATAACAGAAAGCAACCATTGAAATTTTGACTCACAAAGAACTAAAGGGAAAAAAAAACCGTCTGATGAGTCCCTTGAGCAAGGACGATATCGAGATCATGGTTTGCTTGAACTCACCACAACGACAAAGATACCTACCCCTTTCCTTACGGAAACAGGTTTAGGTCGATTGTAATGTACTATGGACGTCTCGTTTGTGATTTTTGAAAAAATTAAAACAGTATTGTTTACTAAGACTGTTTGTCAGAAACCCCACTAGAACCGCAAAAAATATGAAACAAGCTTATAGAAAGTTCAAGCAATTTGAATTGATTGGTGAATTATGAGATTTTTACGTATAAATGATATAAAATGATATTTCGACGCTTTCCGGAACTCAGCGGATGGAATGCTGCTGTAATATGTGCTTTCCCATAAAAAGAAAAGGACTTAGTGTTTAGTGTCCAAGAATTTTAGGAAAAGAAGTGACTACAGATCATTTACCTTATCGTTAAAATCTCATAATTCACCGATCAATTCAAATTGCTTGAACTTTCTAAAAACTTGTTTTATATTTTTTGCGGTTCCAGTTGGGTTTCTGAAAAACAGTCTTAGTAAACAATACTGTTTTAATGTTTTAATGATCTAGATTGATTTCTATTGAATTACGTGATTTTCGAGGTGCTACAGAAAAAATTCTCGACTTTCGGACTCGATATCGTCCTTGCTCAAGGGACTCATCAGACGGTTTTTTTTTTCTCTTCAGTTCTTTGTGAGTCAAAATTTCAATGGTTGCCTAAAATTACTTTTTTTTCCAAAAGCGCTGTATGTTAAGTTTTGCATTTTCATTCGACAACAAACGCTGCTACAAGAATCGGAAGGGTCGTTACCCTATGTGTTCATCCATGTTCGAGGATATCAAATGGTGATAAAGAGAAATTCTGACACTTCTTGTAAAAGTACAAATCCCCAAGAATGGTGATAAATAGGGAGTTCGGACTTCCGTAGAATTGTAGAGTCCTGATTTTTTTCGTTCGGTGCATGTAACGTTTTTTGGACGCTTTCATATAAGTAGAACGATTCGATCATCCACAGAGGATGCTTGGCAGAGGCGGCGGAAAGAGTAAAGCATTAGAGATAGTCGGGCACCTTAGAAAATAGAGAGATAAGCAGAAACCCTCTAAAAAGTATCTTTACTGCTTTTCTGGTCTTTCTTCCAGCTTACGTTCGTTTTCAACAATGATTGGTACGTTGAACATGTTCATGACCATTTGGTGATCTGGACGCAGAAGCGTTTAGTAGAACGGTGTCAGTTCGTCGTTCACCATGACCTGATTCACAATCCATTTTTACAACTAAATTCAACAGTAAATAAAGTAAGAAAGTCAAGAAAGTCAAGAAAGGATCACGAATACCGCGACCAAAAATGAGACCAGTCAACGTTAGTGATGATGTGTAGTCCAATTGCACTTTGAACCAACCTGTATCATCAGCCTTTATATTCGACTGTTGTAATAGTATCATGGTCAGTAGTAATAGTATCATTCAAAACTTGTATATCTCCAGTCGTAACGAATAAATCTTCCCATTCTATCTGATTAACTTCACTACCATCTATTAAGTGAAAAATATAGAAACATATATAAACATATTGGTTCAGCATATCTCTTCCAACTTACGTCCATTTCCAACAGTTAATGTTACATTAGTCATATCGTGAGTATTTAGTAATTTTGCCGCAGAAGCACTTAACAGGTCGATATCAGTGGGTTGTTGATCATGACCTGGTTCACAAGCCGTTTGTTCAACAACTAAATAGACAAACAGATTCTTATATAACATTACACTTATGACTAGAAAATCCTACAAACTTCTGTTTGTGTTTTAGCATACCTGGATGATCAGTGGCAGTTGTTTCATTATGAGATATTGCATCAGATGGGCCAGCTTCTTCTAGCGCAGTTACTACTACAAAACCAAGCAACGTATTTTATTAATATGTCTCAAGGTTTCATGACTGAGACTACGTTTTTCACCCTTATTAATGAGATTTAGAAAGTAGTTCAAATTTCGAAAGGAAATTTTTTAAATATAAATTGTAGTCTCTATTTCAGATACATAAAATCTTTCATTCTTTATAGAAATAGTATGTTATCTCACTCTGGAACAGGCTACAATTATATTAAAATTAATTAAACTTTTAAGTTATATTTAAAAAGATTTCATTCCTAAATTTAAACCACCCTTGAAATCTAAACAGCAGAGTTGATTGAAATAGTACATTCGTTGTTTTTTTCCCGTGTTTCTTTTATTCTTTGTCATTCCTTAGTTTGCCTTTTGACCATTTCTCGAAAGCACAGCAGGCACCGATATACACAAAATAATATTATACCAAGACAGTAACGATCTCTGCGAGCTACGTACAGTGAACTACTGCGGATGTGATTGGACTTATACAAATTCGTTTTTGTGCATTTAGATATCCATTTGGACCTAAATATCTCGCTGGCATTGATTGATCGTTTTCATCAGTTAATATGAAATCGTAATCAAATATTGAGCATAATTTCCGCTTATTTTGCGTTGTCGATAAGTCGATTTCATTTTCCATCAACATATCACCGCCAGGGAAATCCTGCATATATCCATCTTAATAAAAACATATAGACCTAAATGACTTAAATAAACCATAAATCCGCCTTACAAAATCCTCAAGGTAAAAAAATATTTTAAGGCATATTTTACCGTACAAAAATGTATTACGTCAACCAGCAAACTGTATGAAGCATAGTCTCGGTTTCTTTTAACGTACCTTGCCTTCGATAATCTAATTCAAAATTTTCTGTAACAGCACCGTGGTCATTATTTATCCTTGTCTGGTCACTCGTTCGAGCAGCAACAATAATTTGATCTTTAGATACGTCTGATACTGAGTTAACTTGTACTGGGATACTGGCATCAGCTAAAGCAACAAGGCGAAAAAACATATTAAACCGAACAGAACAAGTCTCATGTTCTCTTACGCTTTATTCTCCACGAACAAAAATAAACATACCTTTTGCTGCTTCTGCATGTGTCTTTTGTCCTATTTTTTCATTTATTAGTATAATTCTTTCCCCTTGTATCTTTAAATCATCTGCACCCGCTAGCGTTAATTTTATTCCTTTTCCTTTCGCATGGGCTTCATTTTGTTCACACGTTTTTATATATTTTTCCATTGATAAACCATAATTATTTTTCATTGTCTCAGTAAATTCAACGTATTGTTGTTCATCATGAATATCGGGAAGATATCTTGACCAACTTGTGACCGGTCTAACTAATGTTTGTAAAAACATTCCATATTTTAAAATTTTTTTCGATACGAGATTTTCTAATAACTTATCAACATTAATATTATCATGTTTAGCATTACGAAACGGACCTGTAAATGTTAATGCTGTCATAGTAAATATGTTAAACTCTATATCCAAAATAACTCGCTCCAAAGTATTTGCTTTTTTTTGTTGTTCATATGCATCTGATTCCAAATTATACAGTTGTAACGCTTGTGGAAGAAGAAGGTCATCAAATAAACGGACTGCTATTTGTGCTGCTTCCTTTGTTATCTTCATATATTTTTCTGGCGGCTCTGGTTCACTTGATATTCGTACGTTAGTCAATTTTTTCAAATCAACGTCATCTGGATAATTTATTACACCATCATTGACTCCGCCAGCATCATCATTTTTATAAAATGTTTTATCAACTTTTTCAACAAATGATTGATATGTTGTTTGTTTTAAATTATAAAAGTCAAATTCATTTTCTAAACCAATTAGAATTTTTTCTATATCAAACAGATTTTGGATCGTAAATGCTATTCGTTGTATCAATTCCGAACTTCGTCGCTCACAAGCTAAATCGCGTTTGTTATTGAATCGAACTTTTGATCATATTTCAACTGGTGTTTGATTTAAACGTACTCCTTCCAATATTGGTTGAATAAATTTATATGCATCGTCATCAAATCCATAAACACAAAAATTCATTATAACACGAATTATATACATATATTCTAATGATGGTAAACCTGCATTAATCTTAGTTGTTTCATGTACAAAATTATCTTTGCTAACACACCAATAAATTAATCGCTCATATAAACCTATTCAAATAGAGCAAACAAAAAATGAAATACTTAACATTGAAATTATATGTAGTTTCAACGTCAAAAAAACCATGAGACTGAGATTGACCTATTATTTTACAGGAGAAATAGAAGTAGAAGTGATTGAAGTACATTACATTATATGACAATATGATGAAAAGTACGTGACTCTTCAATGGTTTAACTCGTCGTAGTTACTCACGGTGCGATGTGGTATTTTTAGTGAGTGTGGATTACACTAAAGACACTTTATCCCTGCGCTTTAGCTAAATAGTCTGTTGCTCACGGCTTCTTTTATCCATATTTAGAATAAATGAGAAAAGTAGATATCGTACTACAGATAAACAAGAAAAAAGACAACATTTGTCTACAGAAGAACAGCTCAGCCAAAAAACGCGAAGAAAACTCAGTCCAAAAAAAGAATTCCGCTAGAGTTATATAACACGTTTTTGTAATGACGGTAGTGAAATGTGTCAACGGTCTTCTCAAACCGTCCATTATATTTTACGAGAGAGTCACAAGGCTGCCGATCGACCATCTCAATACAAGAAAAGCAGATGCTCAGCACGTGTGACGTTGCCAAACAATACACTGGTTGTATATACTCAGTGTGCAATCTACTGAAAAAGAGTGTCATATTTCTCCTCCAACAGGCGAAAAAATTCAAAAACAAAAACCAGGACAAATTTATTAACGTTTTTCCTGACGCTTTTACGGTACAGTTGTCAAGTTTCTGCAGTTTTCTCATTTATCTTTGTTATCAACATTTGGCTATATAAACAAATGTTTTAAAAAAAATTCATCTTTTTCCAGTGCTGCACTAGTAGTTCTATGTAGGGAGACAAAGAAGAGAAATCGTAAAATGCAGGAAAAAATTCAAAAGAATAAGTAACACAGCTGAAACGGTTTTACCATTGGTCGAATTATCTTCTCCGAAATGCTCTAATAATTGGTATCATTTATTGCCGGTAGTTGGAACTAGCATACTTATTGATCTATCTTTGATATGTTTCGCATAGGACATAGTTGTTTTATTATATGCATAGATACCATTATATCCCGATATAACAAGTTTTTGAATATCTTCGGCTTTTTCAGAATTCGGATCAAAAAATGACATTTTATTCAATGGAACATCTTCATTGGATGAAATTAACTTGGATGACAACCACAATTGAGATATTAATGATGCCGGTGTAAAATCCTCTATCAATGTAGAATGGAATTCTTTCTGTTCATTGAGAAATAAATTTCGAAAATATCTTTCAACAAATTGACATGATAATCGTATTTGCTTAATATAAGCAGATTTATTTATTTATTTATTTATTTAAACGAAAAACAGAAACAAGAGTTAAACATAATATACAACAAAATGAAATATTATAACACTTTGCTAAATAACTACCATTTTTTAGGAGTAGTTGGAATACTTCGCAGTCTTTAATAGCATTAGGATTGCAAGACAGATATTTGTGCCGCTCATTTTGTAACTACTTGTGCGTTTGAGCAAACTATTATTGCTTCATTTCTTACCGGATTCACCGCGTAAAATAGCCAAAAATTTTACGGTACTGTAACTGATCGTATCACGATCAAAAAATTTAGATTCCATGGCCCAATGTGGTAATGTTACCAAAAAACAAATAAACAATGTTAATTCATCATATTTTTTAGCACGATAATTCTTGAAAATATTTAATAATAATGGATGATCTTTCAGATATTCATCAAGTTTATGTGTCGATGATGTCAAACGTTGACATATTTTGAAATTCCGTTCATCCAATAAATTTAATTCTTTCATCCGATCATTAACTTTCTTGACCATTACTCAATTGAATACACTGATCGCTTATTATACTGATGAACAATGTGATGAAATTTTTTTCAAAATATTTTCGAAAACCCTTTTTTCTAGAACGGTCAGAAACAAACAATAAACCATATTCAAACAAAGAAAAAAACATAACACCCTTATAATATTTGCAAAAAAAGAAGTTTATAGAACGTCTTACAATACAAATTTTGAGAATTATAGCAGCCGAATAAAATGAGATCATTTCTTACTTTATTCACGATATTTTAACCTTAATCGGTCATTTTATATAATAAAACTGCTATAATTCTCAAAATTTATTTGAAAAGCTCGCCCATTAATTCGCCTAGTCTTACGATACGCCAAACCGATAAATTTACGCTAAAAATTTAATGATCGCACAAGTGTTCTTTGAGATAACACCCGGCTTGAGCGCACATTCCGAAGTAGCGGTTTTAAAGTGACTAGTCAAGGATCAGTTTCGTTTCTGCTGTCAATTGGGGTGCTTTTCAAAACACCTAGTGGTACAAAGTGTACTTGAACACTTCTGAAATGTGATCTATTCTAGAGCACTTTGAAAGCGTATCAAAAACAAGACACAGAAAGAAACGGCTATTTTTAGAGTACTATTTCTTTACAGTGTAGTGACTTTTCCAATATCCTTATGTCTCTTGTTCAAACAATGCGCACTGTCAAAAAATAATACACTTTAAATATATCAAGAGCACACTTCATATGTGTTCTGACCATGCTCTAATGCAAGTTTGACATACCTGAAGTGTGTTCTTGATATATTTAAAGTGTCTTCTTTTTTGAGAGTGCGAGACTTCTTTTCTGCTATTGGGTCAGATTAAAGGAATAGGCATTAGTTGTCTTCTTCTTTCAGTCACTACACTGTAAATTCATAATAGAAAAAGTCAACTGGTACGCGGTCTGTTAGCCGAGATATTCGCGGACGGTACCACTAAAGTGCAGCATTGAGGACCCGTCTACTGGTGCCCTCAGCAAATATCTCAATACCAGCGCTTTGCCAGAAGGAAGAAACGTGAGGAAATGAAATATTATTTATAGCTTGTTTAAAATAAAAGCTTGATGGATTTGAGGATTACTTTTTTTAATATTTCGGTGCAATTCTGACACTAAAGCAGATGTATTTGACTGTCAGGCCACGTACCAAACGTTTCTGCCCGGGCTTTTCTCTGAAAGCACGTTTAAGTTGGCCTGAAGAGTTTAATGCAAGAGATAAGAGCTGTAGATATTTTTTCGAGCTTTTAAAATGGAAGCTATTGGTCGCTAACGTGATTTTTTGGAGTAAAGTCTGTAAAAAAGTACGACGCTGATTTCGGGTTAAAAAGCCCGTGACTGCATGGACTCTACTCCATAATGGAACAGGTTATGATTGAGAGAACAGTCTGGGGAAAGATCTTATTTCAAACTTATGGTCTCCACGTGATAGCAGAAGCATATCGATTTTGAAAAAGCAATCAAAATTAATTCAGATTAATTATACATTTTGAATGAAGATAAAATAAAAATTACGAAACTAACTCAAATACATTTAAAAAACGAGCCAAAAATCGAAATTTGATTTTAATCGACTTCTTTTACAAAAAAAAAAATTCGCTCACGAACATTAAAAGCTCTCATATCACATCGATGCAAATAATTTTTAACTTAGTCAACCTACTCATCCTACTCAATCAACTCATGCATTTTGAGAATTTTTCCGTTACATGCGACACCAGTATTTTGACCGTTGTTTTACGATACGCTGTGTAACAGAATTGTGACAGCTATGGACAGGGTAGTATTTTAGGCCCGATTTTATTTCTTATATTCATTAATGATCTTTCGCCGTCGCTCAAATCTTCTCTTCTTTCTTGTCTCTTTGCTGACGATGTCTTTTGCGTCACAAATATATTCGAAAGACAAAAAATGTATCGATGAGCTTCTTCTTGGTGTGATATAAATGAGCTAAAATTAAACATAAAAAAAAGGCCGGGGGATTTTATTTTCTAACTCCACAATAACACTTCCATCGCTCTCTCTTTCAATAAAAAACATTAATATTAAGCGTGTTTCATCT